GGGGCACATTAAAGACGTGATATAGTGCTGTGGGAGAAGACTGAAGGCCCACTGTGTCTCAAATCCTGAATTAACAGGATACTGTGGTACCGTCTAGTCGGCTCAGTGTGAATAAGGGTTCACTGAGTGGTACGGGGACGACAGTCCTCACATAGCCATGCGTAGTTGATGCGGTTCCAACACGGTGGTGAACAGGCAAGGCTGGTGAAAACGGTCAAAGTTTCGATAACCCATGGCAGTGGGACCGGGATCAGACCGTCGGTTACTCCCTGGGAGCCTGGTAAGCTCTACGGGATCGAGTGATCGCTATCGACTGGGTCACCGGCCGGTTGGGTCGCAAAAGGCAGTAAGGCTTAAGGAAAGCAGCCGCGCTCAGCTCAATGTACAGTCAGGCCCTAGCAAACTGAAAACGAATGAGCTAGTAAGTGAGCTAGTGGGAAAGGTACTCAGCCTAGGTTGCGCCCCTGGCAAGGAGGGGAGACTGAAGAGTATAAGCGAACAAACTACGTAACTGGTCAGACAATACAACTACCAGCACGTGTTCCGATTTCGTTTATAAAAGCAATACAATTAAACAAAATTATTGATCGCGAATTTTACAAATTTTTAGCCATTAAACATGCTGGAATGTTATCCTACATTCGATATTGTCCACCAACGTGCACCGGATCGAACTTAGAATCTTAAGTATAACTTGATATTTTCAAACCATCAAATTTTAAAAGAACGGCATAGTAAAATTACGGAGCATAGCAATTGCATTCATGATGTGTGTACGACAGTTTGTATTTAGAAATATTATTTATGTTAAATGTGTTTATGTGTATGGAATGTACCAATAATTAATAAATTCAGATGGACATATGACATTGAAGTGAAATTAACTGATTTTACATGACATGTAATGAACTCTGTTCCAGAGACAAAAATGTTGGAACAAATGAACATTGACTTTTAATGTACATACATATACGTATACTATATTATTAATATTATCACAATGAATTATTCAGTGAATAAATATGACATAATTTCATATTTAATTGACATTTATGAATGATTTATAATGGAAATATTAGTGGAGATGTACAATTGAATATTAGTGAATATACAGGAAACTGTGGACATTTATTCACAAGAATAGTCACAAACACGGACTATACGTTTATTTTGTTGTAAATGATGCAGAATAAACATTATTTTCATTGAATGAACTTTAATTTAATTATTAAAATTATAAAACATTATATCTTTGACAAATGGTTAATGATTTAAATGTCATTGACATATTGCGTAATATGTTAAAATTACTATTAAGTAATACACATGTAAGTATGATGTTGTTACCTTAGACTTTATACACTTTATAACGATATATTATTAGCAGTAGACTAAATTGCATGCAAATTAATGTATTGGAACTAATTTCTATTTTAGAAAGTAAGATGACATGGAACAACAAATATAAATTTTTAAAGGAATTATTGTTTTTGAATATCAATAAATTGTGGATGTACGTAAATGTATTATAGATAGTGGTTATTCACAACCATAAAGGAAAACACTACAGTATGGATGATAATAACAAACGAAATGCAGATTTTCACCACGGACAATGTGCTGGTCACAATGTTGGTGATGATGGCTGTATATTCGAAAAGGAGTCATGACCCTATAATCCAACGTAGTGTATTTAAGAAGATATTATAAAAATGTGTCAGAGCCATAATAAGAGAATTACATGTTAAAACTACACAAAATTATTAATAAAGTTCAGCATGTGTATTCTTGGGCCGCACATTGAAGACAATAAAGGAAAATACATTACGCATCCACGCGTATCGCAAAATTTGATTAGTATTATTTATCCTTTCTAATATATTCATTGTTTCATGTCAACTATATAACTATATATATATCTATATTATACCATATTATAAAGTCTAATGACAGTATTTTAAACTTTTTAAATAGTTTTTTTTTAGTTATGCAATGCTTGTGCTTCTACATTCAATAAAATAGAGAGAATGTATATCGTAATAAAAAAAAGGGAATTCGAGGACGAATTTATTTGAAGAGAGGGTGTATATCGTAATGAAAATGATTTTAAAAAAGTACAGATACAAAGTTGTGATTGTAATGAATACATTGTACCTTTCATTACTAATACAATATACATTTGTTAAGAGGTTAAATAGTGTAAGTAAGAGAGTTAAAGAGTGCATGTGTTGTTCTATAATAACAAAAGAATAAGGGAGTATAGTTATCATTCCTTCAGGATGATACAATGAAAAATCTGTATTAATAGAAATGGCGACCTAAGGTCAAGTAACATACCATTGCCTAATAAGAGAATGATTATAGTTTGGTAATGACGTAATGATGGAAAGTTATGGAAAAAGGGATAATCATAGACATTGTGTAAGAGCTGAGGAATTATTACATTACCAAATAAGGTAATGTAGGAGAAAGACTTTGTGATACATCATGACATTGGAATGATGATCTATAGGATAAAAGAGAATGCATTGTAACTGGAAAATAAGAATATACGAATAAATCTTTTAGGCCCCCAAAAGATGTATGTTCTTCATTTATAGTACTGGCGAAATAGAAGGTACTATATTAGTTTTGTTTTGCATGAATTTATAGTAAAAGACAAATGTAGTGTTTAAGGAAGTTTATTTTAATGTATATTTTAATTTTAAAATATGCCTAGGGACAGGCATATCGTCCCCGGGAGATAATGTAATGGTAGTAAGTGACAGCATGCAACGAATAAGAGCGGGGAGTGTTTAGTAGAGTAACTTAAGTTGATTGACATGCTCTTATGGTATTGCGCTTAGTGTAAACGGAGAGAAGGCCGCTACAGATTGCATGAGGCAGAAATAGAAATGAAGGAAGCGGCGGGGGTAATAACTGGACAGTAGTTCAATAAATGATAAGAAAGATAATATCTGAGTTGTATTTGCTACCTCGCGTAACATGAAGAAGATAAGCCAATAACTTCGTCACATCTGTATAGCTTTAAGTAGTAGAATAATTTATTGTGAACATGCGTCTACACATACACTGTACGTTATATTGAAGTCTACCAGGTGGCTTTCGGTGGATTTAAAATACGATTTCTTTCAAATACCGTTTTACAGTATCAGATGACGTGTTTTAAGATACTTCATAGTATATTACCACTGCGTGCAATATCTTATGCGGAGATGAAGTCGCATTTTATCCTATGAAGTCGATTTGTCAGTAAAGTCAGGGCATTTATCCCATGAAGTGCTAATATACCATGAAGTATCTAAACAGACGTGCTTTAGGATTTTAATAATATTATTATCTTTATATTATTCATTTTTCTACGCCAACGCTTTGAAATGAATTGGGGGCAAAATTATCAGCATATTTCCTTATCTAAGAGTATGATGCCAAAAAGTTGCCGCCTGATTTTCGAGTTTTCCGAACTGACGGATAGAAATTTCGGCTACAAACGTTTGTGCTAGAATTTTCAAGGTAAGTGACCCGCCGAAGATTCAAGTAACAAATCTCGTCTTGGCAGGCCCCATATTCAGAATGCAGGTCTTTAAACTCTCAAGTTATGGGAGACGGTTACTAGTTACAATATTGAGGTGAGTACCCAGTAAACTGTGAAACTCAGATTTCAGTGTACAATATCCCTGCCTCGTAAAATATGCCCTATCGTCGTTGCACACCCTGAGCATCCGCGATCACATTTAACCTTTCAATTCTATTAACTGTAAATTGTCACACATGTATTAGAGAGGCGAGTATCTAGTAACTCAGGGTCACATTGTACAATATTCCCGCCTGGGTGTGTCGAATTCGAATGTGTTTGCGAAGACAAGGCACGCCGTGCTTTGAATGGATGACACAAATAATTAAAGCTGTGCCTGCTCCTTGTGTTGGATTTATCTCATTCAGTCAAACACTATAATCATTTGTACCCCTTCTCCTCACAACGTTTGGGAAAAAGGGCCCAACCCACACACTGTGCATAATTTTTCGCGTGTGTGTTCTCTCTTGCACTTTGCTGAAATGATAAAATTAATTTTTATGCGACCTCATGAAAAATGAATTTTTTTGGCAACTTTCAATAATGTGTATCAAAAGAAAACGCTGCAGCATTTTAAATTCATATAACTTATTTGTTCCACGCCCCGCAGCCTGCTTTAAAATCCATCTTGTTCACGTCACCAGGTATATTCTTTACCGTTTTGTGACATAATAAATATCCACCTCAGTGCGTGGTTGCGACGTTAAATAGATTTTGAACTGCTTTTCTCGTAATAGAAATGACGAGGTTAATTAAACGAAATAACATAAAAGTAACTATATAGGAAAGACAGACTGTAAACTATTCAAACTGATTGGAACGCCAAAGGGCTCAATTGCTATAGTCCTATAATTCCATAGTACGCTAGGTAGAAACCGAGTACGAATGTTAAGATTTTTAATCGAGCAACAATATACAAAATGGACAACAGAGACCATAACTATGCAAAAGCGTATGCTTCATTAGTTTCATCAGGAAGGACAGAGCATATGCATTATTCCAAGACAGTACATTTATATTGATATAAATAAGGGACTCAGTGAAAGTTAAATCCATCATTTATATACATAGCTTGAAGCTCGTATTTCATTTCTTAGAAAAAAATATTTAAATCAAATCAAAGGTCGAATAGCATTTAGCTTCAGGTATTGTCCCCGATCTAGGTCACTGCTTTAAATAAACGCGATCGTATCCCACCGGCCCTTCAGAGTCAATATAGTTGAGATTAAACACGGTCTGGAGTTTATTTACCTATCCGTATAGGCCAGTTGTAGCGGCTTATATATATACGGCATATATGAAAGGACTGATAACATTGAAAGCCTAGCCTTGAGTACTATCAAGGGACCGGCGTATAGGCTACTGGTCTGGTCTATTGGCCGGCGAATACCAAGAGCACAGCAAGCTAACAGCTGCACTGGATCAAATGTCTGCTTTGTTTGATTCCGATTTCAACCTCGGCGGTTTCTTCAGTCTAGGATCAGCATACAGTGTGTACAGTAAACCTCGCAGTAACTCTGCCGACAGCTTTGATAGTGCTTGTTCCCCACACAAAGCCGTGCGTTATCTGCATCCTCCAGTGCAGCATGCAAACAGCAGAGGTCAGCAACCTCAACATAGCAAGTATCCTGAATGTGAATCTGGCATTAGAGAAGAAACAGTGTATTATAAATCAAACGCAAATTACAAGGACATAGACAGAGGGTGGGCTTGGGCTGTACTCGTAGCGTCCTTCTTCTGCAACTGCATCAACATCGGCATCAACAATTCTGTCGGCGTGCACAACGCCGAGTTCTTGATTCAGTTTCCCGAAGAAACGCGGAGTTACGTTTCTCTGGCTGGCAGTTTGCAGAACTCTGTTTGTGGTCTGACAGGTCTGGTGAGCGGCATCATCGCCAATAAGTACAGTTGTAGGACAAGCATTCTTTTGGGTGCCATTATTTCAGCGGTCGGCTTTATTGGTACCGCTTTTGCGACAAATATAACAGAGATTATTGCAACCTTTGGGATTGTCGTAGGTAAGTTACGTAAGAGTGCCTAAGATCCATTGTGCGCGCGCATGTATACATTCTTGCGTTTAGCTGAATAAAAAGAGCCGTTATACCAACTTGATGTATTAACTAATTTAGTCACCCTATCCCTCCACAGTGATATTTCAATGAATACTTCTTTATCACGTTTAGACCAGCAACTTAGTATTGTTTGCCGCATGGCTGTTATCAAAGCTGCCGAGACAGTCATATGTCCAATGTGCCAAATGTTACATTATAAAACAGTATTACGCTCAATCCACGTTAATGACAGTGGAACCTTTTTTTGATAAACTGAAAACTGAAATATTGTAACACTTGACGAAATGATTAAAATTATAGTCAACTAAAGACTTAAGTGTGAAATTGATCGTGTGTAATTTGGCTTACCGTATGGACATTATGAAGAAATGACTTTCATTTGTCTGAAAAATCAAACGGACTTAAGAGACGTTGCATCATTCTTTAGTTTCATTGTTACAGTTTGCAGTTAGAGTTTATGAATCTTTAAAAAACGCGTTTCTTCTTACTTGTTTAACGCCGGTGTCCGGACCGCGAAGCAACAACTGGCATCGGTGTATTCATCTGAGCGGCTCTTCCCTCGATCATCTTTGGCTACGCTACCGTCAGAGAGAGGGAAGAAAAACCGCTACAATATTATTGGATTATTGAACCGCCAAATACATATATAACTATCTGTTTTTCTATCTTTTAAACTATATTTGTCGAGAGGATAATTCTTGTATTACATCTTTTGCAGGCGTGCGATAAAACCATATTTAAGATTATTGTTCAGTCTTCCAAAGTATTGTAGCCTTAATCACACGAAGAATCCATTTCCTTTGCAGGGATTGGTACGGGTCTCGTATACACATCTACAACAGTATGCGTTGGTCAGTATTTTCACAAGAGAAGACCAATGGCTCTTGGTATTACTGCAGCAGGTATGGCCCTGGGACAGTTCATGTGTCCACCTCTTTTCCAATTCCTCATAGACGCGTATTCCTGGCGAGGATCTGCCTTCATCATCGCAGGGCTGTGTCTGAATAATTGCGTCTTTGGAACTATAATGAAACCACTAAAAGAACTTCACGTCGAAAGAAAGGGCGTAATAAGTTCTACATGTAAAAGTTCTCGTTTGCAGATGCAGAAAGACACCGACCAAACGTCTGTAGTCAACGGTGACCACGAGCCACGAAAGGAAAGTAGTTGGATTAACGTGGACGCTGCCAAAGACGACACTGGCCAAACAAGCCCGCAGGCTTTGTCAAATGATGCAACAAAGGCTGATTCTTCCAGTCGTTTTCATGATGACAGTGTCAAGCATGCATGCCAGTCAAGCCTTTTGGCAAATGGAAACAAGCACAGCACGCTCGAGTCGTCTGCGTTTCTCAGCCTGTCGATTGGAGCTTTCAGCAGCATGACGTCGAATATCTCTCAACACTTCGTATCAAACGGGCAGCTTAATGCAGCACAAGACAATGCCAAATCAGGCTGCTTAGGATATATGAAGGCGATTGTGGACGCTCGGCCACTGAAGAGTGCGGCGTTCATTTCTCTAAGCATTGCGGTATTCTTTTGGGCTTCTGCTAGTCTCATCTGCTCTGTTCATCTTATCGCTTATACATTACAACACGAAACCACCCCTCAGCAAGGCGCCATCTTGTTGTCAGTTATTGGCGTGGGGAATTTTGTCAGTCGTCTGCTTGCCGGGGCAGCTACCAACGACAAAGAGCACGTGGATCAAGTTACCCTGGGCGCAGGCGTCATGGGGATCTCAGCGCTGCTCATGTACTGTTTACCGTTGTTCATACAAAGTTATTGGTCCCAAGTACTATTTGCTGCACTATATGGTGTTTATTCAACCGTCCTTATACCTCTGTTGGCACCAATGACGGTTGAGACTGTGGGACTGTCGTCGTTGGGAGCTGGGTTTGGGTATCTGATGGTAATGAGCGGTATCGGATGTGCAATTGGCCCTCCACTGGCAGGTATTTATGATCCCATTGTGTTAATTGGTCTGTTTGAGATGTCCATTTGGGAAGGCTCGTGTGGTTCATTGACGTTGATGGGCGTGGCTGAGAACATCCGGGCTCCGTCTTTCACTGTCAATCAAGACAATTAGCTATTTAGCATTCTAAACATTCTAAATGCCTTAATTCTTCGCTCCTGTAATAATGAACAGCTTTCAAATAATTATTATATACTTCGCGAAGATATGAACTGTACAAATGATTTTTTTTCTTTCTCATCAACTCTTTAATTCTTATTTTAAATTTGTTTTGAAGGTTATCTATACGATGTCACAAAGGATTACTCAAATTCGTTTTATTTTGCGGGTAAGTTGAAACGTATGCCTTGAATTTGCTTCATTGGCGTGTAAACGAGATTTTAATGTGTAAAATCGGCTCAAAGCGGCTCAAATCGCTGTAAAGTACTGAAACAGCTGAACTGGGTTTCACTAAAAGAACGTCGAGGAAACCACGCGAAAGAAATCATGTTCAANGGGAGATAAAGTGCAATCAGTGGAATTAAGCAATTGTCTGACCCGCCACCTAGAGCAGTTAAGGGTAATTTACTATTGTGTGCTGATTAAGTTGATTTAAACTGAGCTTAGGGTGACAATTTGAATGTAAAATGATGACTAAGTTTTTCAAGGCCATGCATCTGGTTAGTCATGTGCCTTATCTGCTCGATTTTGCCATTAGAACTTTTATATATCATTAGATAATCAGTACGGGGGAACTTGACAAAATAGTACTTTTATGTTCAATTTTTTTTGTCACTTAGTTTTTCATTCTTTAATTAAAATAAATTGTACTTTTAAATTTAAATGTTCTTTTGCCACTTTGTTTCTTATTTCTCATCCTTTCAATGTAGGTTCATTCTCTGCGGCCGGATCCCTCGTCTTACTGACGATTCCAGTGCTCGAAAACAGGCGGCGCCAAATACAGGAGAAAAATAATATGCCTTAGAACTTGTTTGGGCCTTGCACCAATGAAACTATCTTGAAGGAATCTATGCTGATCTTTTTTTCTCTAGTACTGCCGTGTTTGACGTGTTATAAAATTGCTGGAGTCGGGAAGGCTGTATGGTACGCTTAATCAACCGAAGTGACAGGAATGGTAGTCAGCTAGGAACGGCAGTGTTTTTCACGTTACTTTGTATAGGTAACACCCGTCCCATTATATTAAGGCCTACTGGATATAATACTGATGGCTAACCCATTCGTCCCCAGATACTGACCTTGGTGCCTATGGCTTACCCTAACTTGTACTACAGTAATGTTATCGCAAGAGCATTGGGACCTGCAATCCTAGTTCTTCCAGTGCTGACACACAGGGAACAACATTGCTTCCACGTCCGCGGACTTAGGAAATTAATCTTAACAAGGATCGTTAACGTAGGCTTCAGATGCTTGGAACTGATAGAGAAGACAAAACTGAACAAATCTTTTAAACACACGTTTTATGTAACTTTCAAATATTAACAAAATAATGAACACTTTATACCGCTCAATTTTACTCAATAATTTTGTCATTTTTCAGTTTAATGTTGAGGTCCATATGGTTAATGTGCGCAGTATGTTTTTGTCCCATACAGATGAGAGTAAACAGCTTGGTGACTATGTAATTACATTTAAACGTCGCATAAGAATAGAATATACGAGGACGCCCAGGAACGCGCTTCGCATAACACGGTCCCTCAAACTGACGTCACGAAAACTCTAAGCTGACGTCACATCACTCTCAGTTTTGAGGCGCCTGCTTTTGAGGATGGGTATCGCTAATAGCATGATGGAGCTGCCCATAGATAAAGCCCCTGAAAATATTAAATGCAAAATAAATTTTAACCTTGAATCGACTCAGCACATGTTACAACAATCATGTTAACGCTCTTTTATTTTGACGAGACAACAATGATTTGTGGAATACTACAGTGGATGTAATCTACCTGCAATTTCCCTTTTTTAACGACAAACTTAAACTTTATTTTATTTTGGTATATGCACATACATTATTATAAGAAAACGAAGTTCAAACATAGACATCCATTACAGTATTAAAACCAATGACAGTGTCATGAATCATAATCTATTTAACACAGAACGACAGAGTAAAGGAGAGCACACCTTAGCTCCAGAGATACCCCCCTCCAAAAAAAAAAAAAAAAAACATACCCATGCCCTACAACGCGCAGAATAAACTGCGCCACAATCTCTTCAGCAAAATCGGACAGTGACAATACTCACCGGCAAAGTAGAATGAGTACGAATAATCTTTGGTGTGATCATAAATAAAACCTGGAAAAAAGAAAATATTTGTATACAATTTAACATTAAGCGCATGGTTTAACTCAAAAAGAAAGCAGACCTAATAGAATCTGCGGCGGACTGCACTGGCCTACAGAATGTGGGTTTGTAAAATGTAAGAAGATTAAAAAGGAGAAGGTTAATGCTACGACCTGCTTGGCAAACAGGACGAGTTATCACACGTGTTCATGTATCACGTTTGTGACCGCTTACTTGCTCGCATACTTATCAGCCTCCGCTAACATGGCAGATTAAACGATTAATTTATCTTTGATCAGAAGACCAGTGATATCTGTATGAAGTAGGGTTATCTAAAAGCGAAGGTGCGAGGTTCTGTCATGATAGAAAACGTAAATTGAGAAAATTGCAGTGTGTTAGTTGCGATGAGAAGAATGTGTTGTCTTCTAAGCATGCATGCGCGTGCCAGTACGACTGCCGTGTAACGTGACAGAGAGTCCCCCATGATAGATAGTCCGCTTTCTATTCATTAATGCAGGTAAGCCTTGCCCTAGATTTTGACCCACTTAGGTCAGGGTAACCCTAACCATTATAACTAATGGATGGCGGGCTTTCTGTAACACGGACCATCAGTTGTGTTACACCGGCAAACGTCACTGCAGGTGTTCATATGTATTTTGATTGTGCTTGTGTATGAGCATGGTGTGTGTGTATGCGTCTATCACCTGCCAGTGGAGGGCCAATTGCACATCCGGTGCCACTCATCACCATCAGATACCCAAACCCAGCTCCCAGCGACGACAGTCCAACAGTCTCTACCGTCATTGGTGCCAATAGAGGTATAAGGATTGTTGAGTAGACACCGTAGAGAGCAGCGAACAAGACTTGGGACCAATAACTGTGGACCAGTGCTGGAAAACTGAACAACAACAGGGCTGTTATGCCCATGACGCCTGCGCCAAGGGTCACTTGATCCACGTGCTCTTTGTCGTTGGTGGCGGCCCCGGCGAGCAGACGACTGAAAAAGTTTCCCGCGCCAAACACCGACAACAAGATGGCCCCTTGAATGGGGGTGGTTCCGTGCTGTAGGGTGTAGGCTATAAGGTGGAGGCCGCATGTCAGCACCTGAGCGGCCCAAAACAAAACCGAAATACCAAAACAAATAAACTCCGGGCTTTTTAAAGGATGAATATCCAAAATAGACTTAACGTAATCCATGCAACTTGGCTTGTTTCTTTCTACTGCCTCACTGAGCTGATTATCTGAAACAAAATGTTGAGAAATGTTCGACGTCATGCTTCCGAAAGCTCCAATTGAAACACTAAGAAAAGAGGACACGCCCAGGCTTCTATGTCTTGGCTCCGTCTTTAAGATATTGTCACGCCCTGCCATCCTGTGACTGTTCTCTTGACGAAAGCGATGTATGCTAGTGTGGCTGCCTGGTACTGAGTCATTTGAATTACGGTGCATTCCGTTTGGCGTTGCTGACGTATCTAGGCTTATATCGTTATCTATATGCACCGGTACATTCAAGCAGCCTTTGGCGTCGTTTGAGGAAACTTCGTTGGCTTTGGCTATTTGTGCGCGGCGTTCGTTTTCCGGGCACGCCGCTTCGTCTGTGTCTCTGTGTGTTTCTCTTAAAGGTCGCATGATAGTTCCAAAGACGCAATTATTCAGACATAATCCTGCGATTATGAAGGCAGATCCTCGCCATGAGTATGTGTCTATGAGAAATTGGAACAGAGGTGGACACATGAACTGTCCCAGGGCCATTCCCGCCGTAGCAATACCAAGAGCCATAGGTCTTCTCTTGTGGAAATATTGACCAACACATACTGATGTAGCCGTGTAAACGAGGCCGGTACCAAACCCTGCAAAGAAAATGGATTTTCGTTACAGATAAAGTAAAAATACTATGTAAGACGTCGTAAAATAATCGCAGAGATAGTTCAATCTACCATACACTCTGATCTTTTTTTCAAAAAATATTTACTATAACCCAGAATTTCGTCAAACGTATACTTTATACATCCTGTAGGCCTACTGTTAAATGACAATCTCTGGTAATTTTTTTTTCCGGTGTAGGTGAGTGCGAATTCGCCTTTCACATTCTGAAACCGACGTCCTACTACTGTTCTCCAATCTCCTTTCATACAAAAAACTTCTTAACAACATCTGAGACCTCTAAAATGCAAAACACTGCCTGCTCTTTATCCACGTGGTGAAGAAAGCTGACGTCATACCAAAAATAGCGGCTACTGGCAAAGCACAGAAGGGCGCCCTGTTGACCTTTGCCAAATATATTGACCATTCCCAGACCATATCGTACCCACTGTGGATCGATCTATCTCCGAGGAGATTCTCGCTAAATTGCAATTTATTTAAGCAGCTTAGATGTCTGTCATGCCCACTGAAGCTGATAGGGGGTAATTAGTTAACGTTAAGCATCTAAGCCGCTTAAGATTAACAAGTTAGCGAGAAACCCCTTGGAGATGGATCGATCCAATTAGATCGATCTAGGTGTGGGAACCCAGTCAAAGAAAGACAGTTTTACTTACAGTGGATAGATGACTGATCAGTATATGATTAAGAAAAAAATTCTTAGCATTTATTGCAATTTACTGTTACACATCTTGAAACGCTCAAGGGTAGACGAAAAGGCCAAAATCTTCGTTCCTGTTTATGACTTCAGGGCGAAGGTTTACACCAAAGTCAGTACCATGTAAAACTGTCAACTCAAGAAACTTTGTCTTAGTTTTATCTGATAGAATGTATCATAACATTAGCTCCGTTTTCAACTTACAGCTGTTTGAGTGTCTGGTAAGATTTGTGGATCGGCACTGGTGATGCGGGTAGTATAAGAAATTTAAGATCATGCTGGCAATACCGAAATCTGGAATCTAGGGTAATATAGATCAGGCCAAGAAAACATATTTAGCAGATAAATATATGAAATTATCATATGCAACATTTTGGAATAACTTGCAGGGTTAAGAAAGAGCAGCGTCACCCGCCACACCCCTATTCTGAATAGAATTAGGACTTATTATCGCCAAAAATCTATCATCTCCAAGAAAAAAATGTAATGTAAGACATGACAAGATATATATTGGTAGAGAGACAGATGATGAATGCATGATTGCTTGGTTTACACGCNGATGCATGATTGCTTGGTTAACACGAATACAAAACACACGCATTATCCAGAAAAATTAAGAAAAAAAAAACTTATCCAAAATGATGCAAAGCCAAGGCAACGTATTAATTTTCAGTGCGAATAACGTGATCTCATACCTCGAGTCAAAGTTATTAATAAATTCTCACTTTAACATTGCGCAGAGAAAGTGCAAGGCGGTAAAAAAAAGCCAGTTTCATTAAAAAAAAAATTTTCTCTCTACCTGCTAAAATCTATCACCCCATCGGTTGCTTAAAGTCGACCTGTATGTATATTCACGAAGACGCTGGTCCAGACCGGTTATGCAACTTCATGTTTACAATATTAACTCTTAATCTCCAAGGTAAACAAAACTCGGGTTAACTGTGCAGAAGTTACTGAAGGTACTGCAGGTAATATTACGTAAGGAAGCGTAGCGATAAACTTAAGGTTCAGTAGTCCGCTCTAAAATCGCTTTCCAGGACTCTGAAGTCCAGGTAGAGAGAGAGAGAGAGAGAGAGAGAGAGAGAGAGAGAGAGAGAGGGGAGGGAGGGAGAGAGTGAAAAAAGTGTGTGTGAGAGAGAGAGATTCATCATTACCAACAACAAATCCAAATGTTAATATGATCTCCGGCACATTTGTCGCAAAAGCGGTACCAATGAAGCCAAGCGAAGAAATAATGGCGCCCAACAAAATGCTTGTCCTACAACTGTACTTATTGGCGATGATGCCGCTCACCAGACCTGTCAGACCACAAACCGAGTTCTGCAAGCTGCCGGCCAGAGAAACGTAACTTCGCGTCTCATCGGGAAACTGAATCAAGAACTCGGCGTTGTACACGCCGACAGAATTATTAATGCCGATGTTGATGCAGTTGCAGAGGAAAGACGCTACCAGTACAGCCCAAGCCCACCCTCTGTCTATGTCCTCGGAATCTGCACTTGTCGTATGATATACAGTCCCTTCCCCGTTGCCGGCCTCACATTCTATATTCTCTGTATCCTTGCTATGTCGAGGTTGCTGACCTTCCTTGTTTGTTTGTTGCACTGGAGGATGCAGATAACGCACAGCGTTGTGTGGGGAACAATCACTGTCAAAGCTGTCGGCAGAGTTACTGCGAGGTTTACTGTACACACTGTATGCTGATCCTAGACTGAAGAAACCGCCGAGGTTGAAATCGGAATCAAACAAAGCAGACATTATTCTCGAAACGACGACGATGCTGGTAGTGCTGCTTTTTTGTTATGTGGCGCAGATTCTCTGTTACGCCGGGTAGATGTGTAGCTCCGCTTCTAACAGCTGTAGGCGACAGAGGTATACAGCAGGACCGGTTTACTCCTTAAGCACAGTCTTCTTAATGCAATCATGTAACCTTCACCTTGAAAACCGTTCGATAGGCCATCTGGGTACTCTGTTCCTCTTTCGCTGTGCTTGTTCGTTATAGGTCTTATATCGATCGATGACTGTAGCCGAGCATGTGACATGACACGGTATTGTTTAGCATTGTTTACAGGGCCATGTGTCCCCGTATATCCTCGAATAACTTGTATTCTGCACTATTTAAGGCTTAACAATAGCATGTTGTATACGAATAAATAAATATGCCATTCAGTTCATCTGAGTTGAACTTGAAGTGGTACGCCTCCTTTGCTCTCTTTTCATTCATTCCTTTATTTGCTTATTCACCTCTGCTGTTTTTCGACAACGCCAGTCTTAATCGCAGAGATCGAGCATTAGCGGAGTCAGGTTTATAAAATGTGTTTCCTGTGCACCTAAATTACCTGTTTTCCCCTAACTTTCTCATTGCGTGAATGCTGCTGCGAAAAGCTCTTTTTCCCAAGGAAATGAACTGAAACGAACTTACCTATGTCAGATAAAAAAGAGATACAATTGCTTAGCAAACGTGAAATGCATACAGTCTGCATGTCATACATCAATGTCTTTTGTGGCCTACATAACACTGCACCACTCTTGGTCTCGTGACTTTGGAAAAAAGCAGTTTCACTTTTCATCAAATGTGATGTAGCATTTTTGGTCGTTATAATGACCAATAAATAAACCAATCCAGAAATATATTCGAAAGTCTATCCGTTTTTTTGGAGTTCAACTGTAATTCAATCCAGACCATCTTTCGTAGTATTTTTCCATGGGAGATTCCGTGAATGCATGCCGCCTGTGTCCTGAAGACATTGGATTGCGGCAGTTGTGCCAATTGCTGCCGTTCTATAAAACGCAATTCCCGTGGAGCAGGTTGTGACGGGAATGCATACATCTTTACACCACAACTTGTGGGGGGCGGAGGGGGGGGGGGGGTTCTTTCCTTTTACATCCATTTTAACATAATGTATGAGATCCTGTGAGAGATGGCCATTTATTATGCTGCAACATGCAATTGCGTTTGTGTACAAAATCATATCCAGAAGGATCACGCATCTCTTTATATCCACAGTCGATATCTATGTATTTACAGCATACAAAATATGCTGTAAAAACATTTAAGTATAGTATTAACCACTAAATATGCAAAAAATGCCTAAAATAGCAACAAATACTTCAGAAAAAGGATCACTCATTTTTCACCATTCTGTCAGTTTTCTTGACATCCATAAAGATGACAAGTAGCATAGCGTGTTTAGTCACAAAACAAAAGATGTGGGACACAAAGTTTGTGTGTGTGTGTGTGTATCCTCTTCCCCATTTAAATAACTATTGTATTCGTCTGCTTTTACTTTCGGTCATATCCCTGTGATTTAATGCATTTAGTCGACCATTTCATTTAATGTATTTTCTTTTATTTTTCATTTAACCTCTTCCATCAATGAAACGCACTTGGAAACGACATGGGTGTACCACCTGCACATGTAGCAACAGCAAACCCCTCAGGACAGTGAAATTTGTGGTTGAATATTGGGGATGAGTTCTACAAGTGAATCTAGGATTTTGTAAGGCGACGGGGGTCGGGTGGGGTGGGGGCGTAAGGATAAAAAATATACCTGACCAGAGATACAGATGACACACAAGAGTGGGGATATTGTTTTGTCTTGTCTTGATTCACCCAATAGGGCCTACGCTGTTCTTTGAGGGGGAAAGAGGGAGAAGAAATATCTTTGTAGTTAAGGAAGGACACTTGCTCGTTTTACCTCCGCTGGTCCCTCTAGATCAGCCATCATGTTTCTTCTCAAAGAAAGAATTTATTCGAGGGCTGAATCTTTCGTCAGCTTGACTGGAGACAACGCTGCACAGCGGAATGCGCGCGTATTGTGCCTTCGGGTGTCGTCTGCTGGCGAGGAATGTGACCTTTGACCTCAGTAAACATCACTTCGGCGGATGATACTGATCAGTATACATCTGTAAAGATACATCCGTGCACTTAAAAACTTTGATTTATTTAAGTTAGGAATTTGGTTGATGGCGAGGGGATGGGATTTTCCATAAAAAGGTGTGGATTTTGGGAACCGTTTGCTATGGAGTATTACTCATATGAAAAAAAATCTCACTTGCCAGAGATTGTTACGAATGAAATCTAAATTCTTTTTCAAACTTGGAAGTAGTCAGTGGAAGGATGTGACGAAACTTGTCAACATATACGCTGACATAAAGACCCCCATACACAGATACAGGGTATGGACAGACGCACGTACACACCTCGACTTCGGGGTCTATAACAGGAAAATATCACATCTCCTCCTACACGTATCTTTGTTCATCTAAAAAGCACCTGAATTCTTAGATAGTTGTTTTAAAAAATAACAATTTTTATGAATTAACGATGGCATGTTGGTTTATCAAATATACATGTTTATAGATATTAAGAATTAGCGAGCTTGGACAGAATTCTTGTGTCTTCTGTTATTAGCATATAATTTATCTTCGAGTATAATACAAAAACCACTCATCAATTTTTCTTTGGGTACTTAAATTCTTTGCACGCACTGCGTTATTAAATGAAAGGAATGTTGTATTTTAACATCTTGTCTGGGACAGCAGACAGACAAATATGAAATCTGTCCTATTATGCAATATACAAGATTGGGCGCATTTAGAATAGCGAAATAACAGATCTGCAGATCAAATATGACGACCCACTTAAAAACTTGTCGCTTAATTTCCGATTAGCCACTGAAAAGATACCCCGCGGGAATTACGCAACCAGTATTCAGGTGGCCTTGGTCGGCCATATTTGATCCGCGGATCTGTTAGTTCACTGTTCTGAATGCGCTCTTTAACAATCACGGGTGAGAAGTGACCAGTTTGAAAATTAAAAAAAAATAATAAAATAAAGAGCCTGTTGATAGTTTTTCCTAAGATAATTTTTAACTGGGTACTGGGTAGGGGTTGCAAAGGCGACCAAAAGTCGTTAAATCAAATTTTTAGATTACTTACACCCGAAATACTTAGCTGG